TCATTTTCAAATCCTTCAGTGTGAATAAAAGGAAAGTTTTGATTCCCCAAATTCAAGAAGCCAGGCACTAGAATTTCAGTGTGCCTGCCCTAAAAAGGATGAGATCACTGAATAAAAACTAAGTACTGGAAAGTTCAAAGGATAATTACAGTTAACATTGCATTTGGGTTTTGTTGTGAGAAGTCCCATGTGAGTGTTACCTTTCTACATCTGAGGACAGTAAATTTAGTGTCAGTGTAAGCCAAACACAACATAACCAGGATCTCAGTCCAGCCCACTAAGACCACTTAGTGGAACTTTAGTGAAATTCCAAGGGAGAGCCATGTTCTGGCCACTTGGGTGAGCCCTGTAGATCCCCCCCTTCATTTTCATACCCATTTAAGGCCATTCTCTCAGCCTGTTTGGATTTTATCCTGGGTGCACACCAATAGTGCTGGGTGCCCCATGCTGTAGTGTATTGGCCTTCCTGTTACATGGCCTGGTACTGATGGGCTGTTGCCACCGCACAGGTGATTTATATGTTAATAGCATCTTCCATCAGGCTCCTTCACCACTTCTAAATAGGCCTTCACGAGTCAGTCATACTTTTACCATGCTGAGGAAAGAAAGGCAGTCCCAGGGGGTTAACAAGGTGAAACAGAAGAGCAAGGAGCAGCTCAGTCAGCCTCACCATCAAGCATTTGCCTTCTGCTTGCTGTGGGAAGTGGAGGCAGTGAGATCACATCGCTTTCAACTGTAAGAAATTATCAAAGGAGCTGCTTTATCCCCCAGTGTTGCTGAGAACAATATTCTGGAGGAGCCTGCTCACAGACCTGTAGGCACACATCCTCCAGTAACTGATGTTTCTCCCCCAGGTGCTGTGTACCCTGGCTCAAAAGTGTGGGGACTTCTTGAGACAGAGATTCTCCAAAGACGTCCTGCCTAAGCTGACCAGTTCCCTCCTCAGCCAGGCCCCAGCAAGTGCCAGAGCCGGGCCTGTGTACAGTCACACACTTGCCTTCAAGTTACAGCTGGCTGTGCTGCAGGGACTGGGGTCTCTGTGTGAGAAGCTGGACATGGGTGAGTACCAGGGGAAGTGCAGGCTGTACGAGGTCTCTGCCCAACGTGACTTCTCTCTTCATCTTGGTTGACCAGGCCTATCCTGGTTTCTCATCCTGCTGCTGCCCCATGGGACTGGTTTCCGGATCTTCTCCAGCCTCGTCCCGCTCAGGCCCTGCTTGGCCTTAATCTGTCCTCTCTCAGAGCTCTGTAAAGAGAGGCTACTCACTCCTTACTCCCCAAGACACAAATGGGGAGAGAGCTTCCCAGTACCGTGCGGAACCTGACTGCTCATCTCGTTTGTGCATGAGAAGTGGGTACAAAGTCGAGTGCTTGAGTTGCTGCAGCCAGATCCGTTGGGTCATGCTTTGTTCGTAATTAATGAAAGAACTGGAAACCAGATGAGACTGCTGGCTAAGCTGCCTGGTTCCATGCTGGAGCATCTCTCTGGATGACCTTTTACATGCAGCATGTCCTGCTCTTCTATGGAATGAAACTCTGAAATTCTTCTAGGTTAAATTTCTGGAGCTGACTTTGATGAGGAAGAGGGTTTGCTGGCTAGTTGCTGTTTTCCTCTCTCAAGGCCCTTGATTGCTTTCCTAGCTCTACTGCAAGATTTTCCAGAGGGGAGATCAGTAGAGCTCTGGGTCAGGCGGTTCAAAGGCTCAGAAGCCACTTGCTGCCAATTTAGAGCAGATTCAATTAGGTGGCAGCAGCTGAGTAGGTTACCTCCTACCCTTCTTTTCTGTTCTGTTCTGCAGGTGAGAGCGACCTGAATAAAGTGGCAGATGCTTGCCTGATTTACCTCAGCGCCAAGCAACCCATGAAGTTGCAAGAAGCTGCCCAAAGGTAATGTCTTTTAAATGCAGGTCTATCTGGTGTACAAGTACTGTGGGAAGAGGGGGAGAAAGATAACGCCTTTCCTTTTGCCCCTTTCTCATTCCTTCCTCCAGCACATCTGTGTCCTGTAGAACAGGGTCTCTCATAGAGGTTAGCCCTTGCTCTGAGAAGGCTGCGAGAGGTTAAAAGAGCATAAACAGTTCAGGTGAGCATGCATTTGCCCTGTGAGGTGTTGACAGACATACTTGACTAGTTGGTGTTCGAAATCCTGCTCAACATGTTCCTGCTGTCAGGATAAGAGATCGCTGCTGCCATATGTTGTCACCTGGAAACAAGGGCAGACATTTCACCAGACAAAATGAGTCCAGTTACAGAATGCAGAAAATGAATAGGAAAGCCACGCATCTCCGTTTCTGCTGAAGGACAAGGAAGAGCCACTCTCTCCCTGTGGCCCACCGTCCCTCCCTAATGGGAGAGGCAGCCAGCTGTGAGCAGGTTCAGCAGGCACCGCGGATTTCAGAGGGCAGAATGTTAAAAAGGGAAAAGCTGTCAGCTCCCTTTCACCTGAGTGCAGGCCTCCCAGGGGTGTGCGAGGTGTGAGGAGCTTTTGTGTGGCTGGGCAGCAGCTTAGACAGAGGGAGCTCTCAGAAGCTGTAGCTGTACCTTTGTTTGTATTCCTGAGTTGGTGAGAGTCGGTTTATTTTTACCTTAGTGGCTTTTATTGCATCGCTGCAGGCTTCAGCAGCATTTGTTCTGCAAAGGGGTTCTTTGCTGTAGGCTTGCATACCCTTGATAGAATATAACGTGCATCTGTGTAAGCAATGCTGGCGTGGGAAACAGAACACCGGGATTTATCTATTTGGAAACTTAAGCTTTTAAATCATTAACAAAGCAGGCTGAAGAGCTGTGTAATTTCCACCCCCCACACGATGGGTGGGGAGTGAATACAGAATTGGCCCTCCGATGCAGTAGGGTTATTAGAAGGTGTGTAATGAAGCAAGCTCACTGCTGGTGGAGAAAGGGGAGCAAAGCTGTCAGCAAAGACAGGTTTCTGATATATAGATATGTTTTTAAGAGAAAAATGCCGCATTACATTGCTCCCCCCATGCCTTTGAGGCACCATACATGACATATTGTGTGATTAATTATCTTTGTTGGCCAGACACATGCATGCATCATGTCTGGCCTGATATTAACCGTGCATATGGTAACAATTGCAGTTTTTACAATTTCCCTACAGTCCTTGACACCCTTTTTTTTATTTATTATTATTTTAGTCCTATCTAACCCCTGGTCTTGGAGCCAGGCTGGATCAGCGTTAAACATGTCGCAGTCACTTTTACCTACAGTGTGCATGACTGATAGGAGGTTTCAGTTTGGAAAAGTCAAAATTAGTTTGCACTGTAACAGTCAACTAGCAGCAGGATAAGAATCACTTCTCAGCCATGCTTTGGCTTCCTTTCTTAGGCTGCTTAACCTCCAGGTTCCTGTAAGCTCCAGTCCTTTTCTTTGCTCTCCGTGTGTCTGAAAGTAATCCTGCAAACTGACTTAGACTGTCACATGTATGGCCCTTTGCATTGAGGCAAGGGCAAATTATCAGCCTGCTCCATGAAATTTTCTGCATTTTAAATGCTTCTAAAAGCAGATAGAACAGAACTAATCTTAGCCACAGCCTGAGTGCCAACGTACATCACATAACTCAGCTTTATCACTACAGAAATCACACAAAGTAAAAGGATGCTTGGAATCAGCTTGCCATATTGATTTATACTGAGTGGCCTTTGCTCACCTTTTTGGATTCTTACACAACTCACGAGCTGTGACCTGCCAGGAGGAAGGTTGGCTCTTACAAAGTCAGTTATAGCTGCAGTAACTCCCTGCATTGACTTTGATTTTAAAGTGAAGATTCTCTGGGTATGCAAAGGACTGAGCAGGAATTTTGGGCCAAGGTGCTGGTGTCACAAAAAAAAAAAAAAGCACAGGGTGTGGGGGGTTGTCTGTCTTCCAGGAATGTTCTCGTGCTCCAGGGAGGCTATTTAATCCCATTTATGGGATCCTGTAGTTTTATTAGATGAAGCAGTGGGAATAAGAAAATTGCACAAAGCTGCATTTACCAAATTCACAAGAGGCAAAAATAGACACTGGGAAAAAAAAAATGAACCCCAGCATCTCTGAGAAAGAGAAAATGGGACGGGACAGTAGGCTTTACTGTGACTGCTGGTAGTATTCCAGAAGAGAAATATTACCAAAATATTGTTTAAATTTAAAAAATAAAAAGGAGGAGTTTGGGAATGCCAGGGAATACTAGATACATCTTTGCTTTTATTGAAAATAAACCAGTGTACCCCTGGGTAAAGTGACCAGAAACACTTGAGCAGCTAAGGGGTGGTGTTGTAGGGACACAGCCTGGGAACAACGTTACGGAAATGGTGTTAACTGGAAGTCACATTGTGTAAAACTGAGCTTCTGATCAATTTATTAAGTGGCAACATCTCTGACAAGCTTCTCACTTTAGGGGAAGAAAAAAAAAAAAACTTTGAAGGAAAAGAGATTAAGAAATTGTCATTGGCCTATGTCAACACTTTACAAATAGCTCTACATTTTTTCCAGTTTGAAGTGACTGTTTTGAAATTTACACTCCTTTTCAATAAATGTTTACAGTCTGTGAAGTTTACCATTTGACCTTTCAGTCAGTGTTCTGAATAGGAATGTTTTTTCTAGGATGCAGAAATAATTTCTCCACTTCTTACTGAAGTCTGTGGTGAGCTGTATTTAGTTAAATATCCAACATAGCTGCAGAAGCCAGAAAGAGTTGTCCTTTTGCCAGCCTGTTCACACTGTGCCGTGGCTTTACTTAGAGCTTGGGAAAATACAAGGCACCAGAATAGCCTAACTCTGCTTTGTGCCAGTAGAACAAGTTGTTTAGCACAACTGGAACAAATATGAGCTATTTTGGGATCTTTTTAGATACCAAATTTGATTACACAGCATTAGACCTCTTTTGGTTTGACTGTGTAGCTTATTGGATACTTATTGACAGCTGTCATTTGCAAGCTGGGCTGAGGTACACTAAAACAGCCACCTGCACAAGGCAAAACTCAATAAAATTATATTTAAATAAAAAAAAAAAAAGCCAAAACAGAAAACAAACCTGGATTAACCCCAGGTTTCTTTGCCATGGAAACAGGTTGCTTAGGAACTGTCCAAGAGTTAGTTTGGAAATGTTAAAGTCAAGTTGCTCTCTAAGCTGCATAGCTCTCCGGGTTAGCGGGAGATAATCACACACCTCAGGCCCTTATGGGCACAAGGGGCCGTGGGGTTCTCCAGCGAGCAGCTAACCTCTCGAGGGTTGCTCTCTCCAGACTGAGACGAGGCTGAAGACCAGGGCGTTTCCGCTGTGAATGTAAGAGTTAAAGCTGTGTATGTGCTGGAAAAGCCAACGCCAGCTGAATGCCATTCCCCATTCCCTTCCCATTCATCTGTCTCACCCAGGACTATCCCCAGCCATAAGGAACGAGGCTGATCCCTGTGCCCATCACAAGCCAGGGGACACCACCAGGGACCTGCTGCTCCCACCGCCACGGCCAAATGAGCACCAGGAGAGCGCTGGCAGCTGCTGAGGCTTGGAGAGCAGCACAGGGCTCTCAGCAGGTGGCAGCTCCAGAGCCTGCCCTGGCAAGGCTGCCCATGCTCCTGCTCAGCCTGGCAGCCCCGGGAGGCTGGCACTTGGGGCAGACCTGTTCTCCCTGCCCAGACAGCATAGCTGCAGTATCAGAGAGCTAGGGGAATAGAGAGACCCTTCAGCTCACCTGGGCCTGGCTGTGCACCACAAAGAAGGCGTTTTATGCTGTTGCCAAACACAGCGATCACGTTGGAGCACGTTCAGGTTGTATTCCTCTGGAAATGACAGGCAGGCTCTGCAAGCACAAGTCTCACCCACAGAAGATGTGACCCTCTGAGTTTAGCACCCCCTCGCGTGATGCTGAGACCAAAGCCCGGGTCAGTTATTCACCAGCTTTGTATTGAGGCCAATAATGTGCTGTGCAGCATAAGAACTATTTCCTGTCACTCAGTGGTGGATTGAAACCACTGAGCTGTCTCTTGGGCACAGGAACCATCTTAATGACTCTGTCTAATGAGCCTCCAAATCTATCAATTGTCAGAGGCTGCAGACAATGCCAAAGCTTTGCGTAGCTGCCTATAATGACCCTCTTGGGCGCAAATCAAAAGGGCTTCTCCTTACTCTTTCCTTTCTTCCCCTTGTTTTCTGAAGTGTTTTCCTCCACTTAATGCATGTGGACCCTGACAGCACCTGGCTCCTCCTGAACGAGGTCTGCTGCCCTCAGCTGTACGAGCCTCCCCACGCCAGCTTGCAGCCTGTGAAGCTTCGTGGGATGGGGAGGCCGCGGAATGAGTTCACTGACAACGTCCTGCTCCTGCTGGAGAAGCTGCAGCACCAGGAGAGCAGAGTGCTGCAGGCTGGCACACAAGAGGCATCTCCTGCTTGACAGACCTGCACAGCAGCTGGCAGAGGAAAGAGAACCACCAGGATAGTTCTCACTTACTGAAATCCTGACATTTAGGCCCTGATTAATTCCAGGGAAAACCATTGCGTGGGCTGGGGTACTGGCTGAGACACCTTGCCCATGGGCAAAAGTTTTTTTTCCCTTTTTTTTTTTTAAAGTGTATGAAAATGAGGTGGGTACCTTACCCTTACCCTGATTCCTTCAGGCTTGTACTTCTCTGCACATGGTGTTGGAGGAAATCCAAGGGTCACAGCACATTTGTTTCTTCCATACAAAGTGTTTTTCCAGAAACTCCTTCCCAGCACTTGCTTGTTGGGTGATGCCCTTTCAGCACCTGACACGCACACTTCTGACTCCCCACACAACTGCAGTGCTCTGTCCAGTTCACACCTGGAAAGTCATCTCCCAGCCTGAAATGAAAGTTCTTCTCTGGCCTTAACCTTCCAGGAGAGGCATTAGTTTTGGGTACATCAGAAATCTTTGTCCGATACTAACTGATACTAAAAACAAGAGTTAAATGCATTTCCAGTAATTCCTCACCAGTATTGTTGACAAGAATGGCATCCCCATATCCCCATAGAAATACCAAGGCTCTTCCCTTACAGTTTGCAAAAACTGGCCAAATGAATTGTGCCACTTAATTCTCACTGTTGAGCCGTGAGAGTGTTTTTAAGAAAACAGCCAGCCTTGGTTTAGTTATTTAAGTGATTTAAGAATCTGGGAATAAGCCCAGATTGCAGCTATTCTGTGCAGGCTTTTTTCCAGACCTGCCAGATTTTTAACACCCGCCCCAAGGACTAGATGAAGCGTCTGCCCCTGCCCCAGGACAGCTTACCTGCTGGGTGCCTACCAGGTCAGATGGTGACACTTGGTGTGAGCACCTTGGTGCTGTGCAGCCAGTGGGGGAGCAGATGAATCTGCAAGTCCTGCTTTGCCCCTGCCAAGACTTCCAGAACCACAGCACAGCCTCACCGCTCGCTCACCTGGAAGCTGCACTGGGGCACCCCCCAGCCCCACGTCCTTGGGGCTCCTTCCCACGAGGCTGTCTGCAAGTGCTTTGTTTGCTCTCAGACCACGCCATGTGCTGGATTCGTCAGCCTCAGCCAGGGCCAACTGGCTACTTTCAGACAGATGCTTGTGGAAGTTTTATGCTAGTGAAGTGAAAAGACAGATCTTAACAATGAATTTGGAAGCAAGCTGAGAAATATAAAAAAAATAAATTGAATAAAAACAGTGCAATAAACTGATTGTTAAAGGGAACAGGCTGTGTGTGTTTCTGTTGGGGATCCAGAAGGCATCTCAGCTGTTGGGCGCGAGGGGACTGCTGCTGCTGCCTGTGCACACCCCTCATTGGAGATGGTTTCCCCTCATCTTCCTGTTCTTATTTAGACTTTATTCCTGGTTGTTTTTCCCAGGAAGACACAGCCTGGTGGCTTCGTTCCAAGTAGGACAAGGCTGCAGTTCAGCTTTCACCCCTTATGCTTTTGAAAATAGATACTCAGTGCTTCACATTGGGCTGCATTTCATAGGAGCCACTCAGAGCTGATCTGACGGGAAGATGGGAGAAGCAGGCAGGTGAAATATTACCTTTGGTCTCCAAAGCACTCCCGGGGTTGCTGCAGAAATTTCTAGAACGTTGTAGCACTTTATAAAATTCCTCTGTCAGGTGCAGGCGTTGCATCAGCCCGGCATCAGACGAATCAGCAGCACGGCGGTGGCACTCGCTGCTCCTGCCCGAGCCATCTGTTCGGTCTCTCCACCCACTGCTTCTCCCTGCCCTCGCTGTAGCCAGCAGTATGGGGCTGTCACGGGCTTGTCACAGGCTGTGCCTCTTGCCAGAGAGGTACAAGTTAAACATTGCTGTGGGAAACCCGTGCCATTCTGCAGCCCCCAGCCAGCCCGGTGAGGAGCACCCTGCCCATTACCGGCCTTCACCAGCTCGTCTCAGGCTGCAGTTGAACGATCCATCAGCGCATGCTTGGCCACATTTGGATTTGTCACCTCTGGGAAGCAGAAGTACCCCAGCCTTGCTGGAGTCACCTCAGCTGAGACACAAGGCAAGCTGAAAAGAAAAACCAGTACCCTTTCTTTGAGCATTTTGTAGCATAAAAGCCTGGGCCTCACACCAGCTGCTCCGCATTCCCCTGCGGCCACAAGCATGCCAGTTCCCATTCCTGGATATCAGCACCTTCGGATCCTGCCCTTTCCCTCACACGAGTGACCTGGAGCATCTCCTGAGTCTCCCCACCAGGCCCACCGCGAGGTGCTGGAGGGACCCGGCTCGGGGACAAGCACCCATGGAGGGGACGCCAGGGAAGGGCTGAGGCTCAGGCCCTGGCTGTGGAAGGGAACGGTCCCACAGCACCGCTGCTGCTCAGGACCCAGCACAGATGACTGCAGGAGCAGAGGGGCGGTGGCACCACAGCTTCCACACACAGCGTCCCAGGAGGTGTTCCTGCACCTCAGGAAGCCACCACACCTCCTGTGGTGCTCTGAGCCCCCCCCAAGGCAGGCCCTGGGCCCTGCAGCCATCCCTAAACTCCTCGCCCGGTGGGGAACCACTGCTCAAGGCTACCAGAGGGACCGGGCCCCGATTCTGGGGTCCCACCACCCCGACATCCCTCCCCAACCGTGGGCTGGGTGAAGGAGGCAGCGGCTGCCTTTTCTCGGCAGGATGGCACAACCAGCAGGAGGGCTGCAGCAACGGGAGAGGAACGAGCGAAGTTCTAATTACAAACTTCCCCATGTGGCAGAGCTGGTGGCAGGGGAACAACTGGAAGCGGCTGCATCAATCAGGAAGGGGCCCTCGGGCTGTCATTTCATCCCGGGCTTCCTGCTGGCCCAGTAAAGCAGCAGCCCGGTTCCTGGGCTGGGTACGCTCGCAGAGAGCCCACCGAGCTGGGGGGGCCGGGCTGGGTTCACTGCTGCTGCCCCCCAACCCCATGGCCAGAGGCAGGGGGTCACCCCCAGAGGCAGGGGGCACACGGTGGGGCCTGGGCTCCATGCTGTTGAGCAGGTTGGGGTGCTGGGTCACCACACTATGTGCCATTGTCCCATCCTGCCAGCCACCCTCTGGCACGAGTGGTGGTGCCGAGACCCCCGGCGCTGCCATCCCCAGCGTCCCGGCCATCCTGCAAGCCAGCAGGGAGAGGGGCTGGCCCGCTCCGCCACACGGCCGCCTGTCACAGCTCTTCCCAGCTTCGTTATCACCCCTGCTTTATTACAGGCAGAGTAAATTGCTTTTGTCTGAAGCAGGATAATGGTCAGAAGAGTGCCTGTGTGGAGATGGCATTTCCACCAGGCTCGGCTCCTCCCCGGCAGTGACTTGCATACTAAGCTCAGCCCGCCTGGCCCTGTCGGACCGAGGGCTGCCGGGCTCCAGCAGGGCCAGTGGGGGCACAACAGCACCCATGGGTGGGGGGGGACAGGGCCAGCTCCGTCCCAGCCACCTCCATTGGGAGCAGCTGACTGGGAGCAGCTCCGCACCCCGGGGCTGGTGAAGGATGGGGGCACAGCCCCGGGCAGGCACGCAGCCCCCCGGGGGCCCGTTCCGCTCCTGCTCCCAACATCTCCCATAAACTCAGCAAAATGAATCTCTTCCAATAAAACCTGTTATTTTTAAAAGCTTGCCTCTAGGTTTTGCAAATTACTACACCAAACAGCAATTTGTTTGCTCGCCATTTGAGGTGATTTGCAGCCTTTCACCCTCCTCAAAGCAGCTCCAGCTCTTCCTTTTCCTCCCCTGTAGACTGTTTTTATTGCGGTGGTGGCTGATTCCTCCCATCCCTTCTCCTCCCACCCCAGAGATACATTTCCCTGACAAGAAGCATCAGAGTGCAACACAAGCACGAGCAGCTCCGTCAGGGAGAGATCTACAGAGCCGCCACTGTTATTGCTTGTGGCAAAGCAGAATTTCCAACAAAAGCCCCCTTTCCCCGGAGCCGGTTAATATTTCTCTCCTGACAAAGTATCCGGTGTATTTATAGGCTCCTGTGCAGTTTCCTCCCGTGTGATCATGGCTCCTGCAAATGAAACCCGCAGCAGGCGGCGAAGGCGAGAGCAGCTCTCGTGGCCGCCCCCGGCCGTGCCCTTCCTCTGCCTCCGGCACTGGCTGACACCAGGCCAGCAGCTTTTGCTTTTGTTACTCTAATGCATGACAAATTGCTTAATATCAGCACACCGAGAGGCGAGCGCAATGGAGCTCCACAGCTCCATAAACCAGAGGAGCCGGGGGACGGCACTGCTGAAGCCCTAGGAGCTCCTCTCCAACTGACGGGGCAGAGCCTGGCCCCGCTGCACCCACCCCGAGCACAGCCCCCACTCACCAGAGCCACATCCCGCACGCAGCCCAGCACCGCCCTGCTGCAGCTCAGCCTCCCTTTAACACCGAGCCCCAGCTGCGTGCCTGATGCTCGGCTCCACCTGGGCGCAGCGCGAGGGCAGCCCCAGCTGGGCCCCTTTTTTTTTCCCCAAGACAGTGCCAGGACCACCGCCCCCTGCCCCCCCAAGGACAGAGACCCAGGCAGGGTTTGTTAAGGAGCTTTATTAGCTGCAGGGAGCTGGGGGTGCAGGCTGGGGGCGAGGGCAGCAGGGAGCCCCCAGCCCTCTCCCCTCCACGGCCCCCTCCCCAGTGGCAGAACTTGCCCATGGGGGCCGGACTCTGCCACCTGCCCCCGAGCCGGGTGAGGGGCACGGGGCAGCGCGGCGGGAGGGGAGCATGGACAGGAATGGGGGCACAGGCGGCAGCAGCCCCAGGGATGGAGCAGCGGCAGCCGGGGCTGGCTGTGAGCCCCCGTTTCCCCCAGGAAATGCGGAGGGCAGGGGGCAGCAATGCACGGGGGTGGGCCAGCTCCGGCCCCAGGACTCCCCGAGCCCCACGGCCAACGGCTGAGCATGCCGGGAGCGTGCCGGGAGCGTGCCGGGAGCGTGCCGGGAGCGTGCCGGGAGCGTGCCGTGCCGTCCTTCCTCCGCTGAGCTCAGGCCTCGACGTGCTGGGGCAGCTTTGGGACAGGCAGGGGAGGGAGAGGCGCTATATACAGTCCCTAAGAATGGATGCCCTAACTTATAGATGTGCTGTGGGGCTGGAAAAGAGCAACTAAACTGGGCGTCCTACGGGGAAACGGATGGGGTTCGCTCTGCAAAGCACAAGGGGGTGAGTGGAGGATTCCTGCGGGCAGGGACAGAAAGCCGGGGCGTGCAGTGCAGCGGGCAGCAGCAAGCAGCAGGGGGGCTGCCCCATGTGGGGCCAGCGGGGACAGGGACTGCCACGTGTGGGCACACGGCCCTGGCACTGGTCCCAGCCCCGGTGGTGAGCTGGGGGCCCCGGTGTGCCCGTCCCGCTCCCGTACTCCAGCCCTGGCACCGCTGCACCACGGGGTGGGGGAAAAAACCGCGGTGGCGATGGGAGGAGGGGGCCCGGGGGGCAGCGGGCGATGTGGGGCGGTGGGGCCAGTCTCTGGTAGCAGCGCAGGACCCTCGACAGCTCCGCTGAGTCCGGGGGCTGGGGGGCTCCGGCGTCCCCCCCGGCACCGCCTGCCTACAGCACGCAGGAGGCGTCCACCGAGCGCTTCTTCAGCTCCTTCCCAGCTTTGTGGTGGTGGTGGTGGTGGTGCGCGTGGGCTGAGCCTGGCACGGCGGGGTCCGGGAGCGGGGCGCCCCGCAGCTGGGTGTCCTGGGGGTGCCCCAGGCCCCCCGCCTCCTCCACCCGCAGGTACGCCTTCACCTTGTGGTGCCGCGCCTTGCCATCGCTGGAGTCGATCACCCGGCACTCGTACGTCCCCTCGTCCGCCGGCTTCACCCGGGACAGCCGCAGCTTGTGGGAGATGTTGCTGCCGACCACCTTCACCACCTGTGGCGGAGCAGACAGGGGTCAGGCAGCCCCTGTGCCCCTGGGTGCCCCTGGCCCCGCGGTGCCAGCCCCCACCTGTGCCGTGACGCCGTGTGCTGGGTCCCTCTGGGTGAGCACAGACAGCCGAAGGGGCTCCCCCCCAGCCCCAGCCCTCGGTCACAATAGGATGAAATCCCCAGCGTGCGCCCGGGTGAGCGGGGCTTGAAGATCGATGCGGAACCACGCCGGCTAATTAGCTTTTCTACCAAATTGATTCGCTCTCAGTATTTATCACCCAATGAAATTTAAGACTTACTCACTAGCCAGAGCTGCGGCTGCTATTGGGTTAGGTCAATAAATCAGATTTATAACCCGCCCTGAGGCCCCTGGCTCTGTTCCCTATAATCACACTGGATGGCAAAGGCCATTTTTCTACTTGCCACCGCATTTGTTAGCTGAAGATTTTATGGTGTTTAGAAATTGGGCTGGGAGACGCAACCAAAGAGTCACAAACTCCTGGCTGAGGAGGCAGAGGGGGGAGCACCGGGGCAGGAGCAGCAGCACCGGCCCCATGAGGGCACCGGGGTGACAAGGCCGTGGTACAGAGCATGCGAGAGAACCAAGGACGTAATGCGAGAGGACCTTCAAGAAAAACCTTTGTGTTAGCAGAACAAGGAGTCACTTAGAAGTTAATGGCTGGGAAACCTGGAACTAATAAAAGAGCCCCCCCATTTGCTGGCACTGCAGTCGGCCAGCACAACCACTGCCCTGGCAGGTCAGCGAGCCTCGTCCTGTGGCTGAATTATAACGGGCTGGGTAATTTTATGGCTGCCTGTAATGTTCCCAGCTCCACTGGCTGTGAGCAGAGCAACACAACCCGTGCTCCACAGCAGGGCCAGGACGGACACACGGCCGCTCCCTGCAGCCCCAGTGAACGACTGGCCAAACATCAGGCTGTTCTGTAAAGGACTGAAAGGGAGAAAAACGACAAAGCCAGGACTGTGTGTTTGCTACCGCGCAGCAAACGGCTGCTCCAGCCCCTCAAAATGCCTCTGGGGCAGCAGAACCTCGGGCTCTGGAAATGCAGCTCCACAGCAGGGTGGGCTTGCTTCAAACCCCGCAGGGATGTCCCACGGCACCGTCCTGCAGGGCAGCACGTGCTGTCCCATCCCTGATGCTGTGAGGTGAGCTGGTAACGGGCTGTCTGACACCCCGCTGAGTATGTTTTGTTGGGTAAAAGATGGCCAAGGGCTGCCTAGTGTGATGGTTTCTGCATGGGATCTACATTGTTTCGCATTGTTTTACTACGCTGCCGTTTGTTTTCAGTCAATTGCCTCTTTGTCTGTCGTGCGCATTTTATCAGAACCAGTTGTGGTGTTGTCTTGCCTTTGTTCATTTATCTTCCTTATTCTGTAAACATTTAATAATCAAGGACTTTTAAAATAACCAAAAGAATAGTTTAAATCTCAAGCCTCTCCCTGGTGGCTTGATCTGGAAGGAAACAGCAGAAGCATCACACCCATTGCGCTTCGAAATAAATCATAGCTGCACACGCACATGCATTGATTACATTCCCGCATGTAATTAACTGCCTAATTATGCTGAAAAAATGCGACGGTGGAGTTGAGCAGGAGCCCTGGCCCTGTTCCCCTCCCGTGCCCGGACAGGTCGCTCTGCCCATGGCTGCTCTGCCCGGGACGTGTGGGGTGGACAAGCTATGGGGCAGCCCGAAATTCCCAGCCGGAGGAGCAGAAGGACCCACGTGGGAGCAGGGCAGCACGTGTGGGAGGACCAAGAGCTGCTCTCCCATGCAGTGCAGATGTTTTTAGCAAAGCTTTCTGCTCCCAACACCTGCTGGAGATGCTCAGGGCAGCGGGCAGCCCCAGCTCCCTGGCACCCCACGGCACAAGGGGTCGGTGTGCGCAGCTCCACGGCGGGGCCAGATCCAGCCCAGGAGCTGGGCGGCCACCTCGGGTCCGGCTGGAAGATTTTCATTTCAAAAAGGGGCTGAACTGCTGCTCCTGGTCGCAATCAGCACTCAGCTGCGCACGAGAGCAAGCCAGAGAATCCCAGGGAGGGATTTTGAAGGCACCTGCTGGGCTTTAGACATTAATTCTGGGAGCGTTACATTGCCCATCATGAGAAAAGTGACAAATGGGGGCTCAAACCTCGGGAAGCAATGAAGAAAATAGATCAAAGGGGATATTGTCTCCCTGGGGAATTCATTACCGGCAATAGAATTTACATGTGCTAATCCCCACAGATGAGAAATGAGAGGCAATGCCCTAAATCACGAAGCTTTTTGGCATTCTACTTGCCCTGGCACTTTCTGTCCTTGCCCTGGGACGAGCACCGGGGCAGAGGGGCTGATGCTGGCCGTGGGGTGCCTGTTGCAGCCGCCCCTCCTCGCCCATGGGGCAGGGGCAGAGGGGAACCAGCAGGACGCTGGCCATGAGCTCTGTCTCTGTCTCTGTCCCTGCCCCTGCCCCGTGGCGAGGATGGCACCGTGCCACCCGGCCAGGGCAGCCGCGGCCAGCGAGGGCGCATGTGCGACAGCAAAGGGGCCGAGAGCATTTATTTTATTTAACTAATTAGTGTCTTCTCATTCTGTTCACATGAGCCTAAATGGCTTTGGAATGCTAATCCGGGGAGTAAATCAGATTATTTTCTCCTGAGTGTAAACCTGCTCCTCGGATGCCTACAGGAATTGCATCCGAAGGACGCCCCAGGACCCAGCCCAGGCTGTTCCAGTGCCCCCAGCACACCGTTCTGGCAGCTTGGCCCTTGCAAAGAGAGAGACAAAACCCCCAAAGAAACCAGCCCCGGCCCCCCCACCCCCAGCAGTTCTGTGCAATTCTGAGCACCAGCATTCTGGGGAAAAGTTACAGCTGTGCCCTCGATTAAAGTCCTTGCAAGAATCATTATCAAAACTCACGCTTATTTTTGTCGCGTCCTTCCCAGCCTCCTCCTGCTGCGATGCTTTTAGCTGCTGGGAAGAGAGGGATGGGGGAGGGAGACCGGAGAGGGGGAGAAAAAGCATTAGTTGAGCTGGAAGGAGGGAGAAAAGCCATCAGAGCAATTCCCACCTCCGCCAGGAGCCCAGCTTCAAAGGCTGGGCCAGGAAGGGGCCGAGGTGGGCGAGCGGCGGCTGCACAGCCCCGAGCGAGGAGGAGGAGGAGGGCGAGGGGCAGTCTGGGCAGACCCCGGGCAGACGAAGCCGTGTGGGCAGCACGGGGCAAGCAGGGAGGGCAGGGGTGTGGGGGCACAGGGAGGCCGGGCTGCTCGCCCCCACCACAGCCCAGCTCCAGCAGTGGCCACGAGCCCACCCGAGGCAGGGGCCGGAGCCCTGCCTGCTGCAGCATCACCACTGCGGGGGGGCCCCTCCCCAAAATCCCCCTCCTGCACAGCCCAGCACCTGCCCCGATCGCCGTGAGCGCTCCCAGGGGAGCCCCGAGCTGGCAGCAGCGAGCAGGGTGCAGGAGTCGGGGTCCCACCACGCTGCCCCCCCCTGCCCCGCGCCCGCTGCCCCTGCCCCGTGCCTCTCGATTTATGGTAATGCCGGCAGCAGCTCTGCCAAAGACACAATA